TATGTGGATGTAGGCAGGATACCCAGGATCAGGCCCTTTCCTCTCTACTTGGGAGAAAACAGTTAGAGTTTCATTTACTTTTCTATACCTGAGCCTTAGCTTCATAGAATCTATTCAGTTCAAGATAAAAGCTACCCCCAGGTGTAAGAACAAGCACTTTTCTTTTAATAAATAAGATGATCACCAGTAACAGTGTTTGGTGACATTTTTGTGGAGAGACTGGTTGATTAAGTATTTTAAAACTGTCATTTCCTATACATCACTCTATGATGTTATACTTACAGTATATTTTTCCGTAAGTCTTCGCAGAGGCCAAAGCTGCAATATGATTATGAAGAATATTCAATAAAAGATAATATGTGTATCATTGAGAGCTAAATTCTGCCTCACAGATGTGACTTGTGTTGTGGGACTGTGTTGCATCACACTCCAGGGTTAAATTAAAGTTGGCCTTCCTTCTCACAGTTTCCAGTTCAGGTGATTCTATCGCAAGCATTTTATTATATGTCTAATGATGTTTCATATTTTTCTTAATCCCTGGCTCCTGAAATCACACAATTCACTGGGGCTTGATGTTTTCATTATAAGAAAAGTTTCTAGTCCTTATAGGATAAAAGGCAGTGTGAAGACTACAAGCCTGAGAATACTCTCATAGCTGGATGAATGAAATGTAGCCTCATATAGTTGTTATTTGTTATTTGTATCCCATACATTTTAAGCCTACTTATTAGTCTGGATGTCTGATTGATGACTTTTGAGCTCCTGTAATCTTTTTCTGATTGTGTTTATCTATAATAATTCCCAGTATGACAAATTCTTCTATATTTTACCATAACACATTGTGTATATATATATGTGTGTGTGTGTGTGTGTGTGTGTGTGTGTGTGTGTGTGTGTGTGTGTAGTTTTGGATATATGGATACATAAAATATAAGTCCAGAGAACCTAAGTAGCTGTGGGCTAGTATGTATTGGACATAGACACAAAGAGAGAAAGTCTCAGGAAAGTAAGGACTCTTTTCAAGTATTACTTATCATAATCAGGGCCTCCCACCTCATGATCATAGAGGAGCTACATGAGTCTTTAGAAATACTCTCTTGAGTGAGGGAATTAATATGAAACATCCTCTACGTCCAAAAATGACTGTCTTTGCTTATCTACCCTTGTAGAAGAATATCAAATGAAAAAAAAAAATTCGTTGAAAGATGACTCCCAAGAAGTACAGTGTTGATTACTTTGATATATCTTAGTTAATTCTTTCCAAATGTCCAAATAAGGACAAAATACAAAATGGTGACACCATTAAAAACTATGCTTGTCATTATAGAAATCCCCATAATGGTCCCATGGAAAATTTTACCCACTTCAAGAGAGCACCAGAAAGACTGAGGACTATGGCTGCATCAGTGTTGGCTGCAGCCAGCTGCCAACTCTGTATAAACTTCGGCCACTGACAGTACTTTCAGCCAGTGGTGTAACAACTGTACACTCCTGTCATACATTATACTTAGGATATCTCCTTCAAATCAGAATTCTTTAATCCAATCTGGGCCTATTGCACTTGTCTCCCTACTGCTCTTTTCCCCTTCTAGGTCATATTACCTATGCATTGAACCTTTGTGCTGTATCTGACTCTTCCTTCTTTGGTGAGGAACATGTTGCTCAGGCACCCCAGATAATTTTTCCTCATATTTGCCTTCTGTAACAAAGATATTTCACTCATAAAGTACACACTAGCTGTCACTTGTATCCAGCACTGTATTCCTCTGTGGAGGACATGTCACCCATGATAGCTAAGCCAGCTGTCACTCAGGCACAGAACTTCCAGCCGTATATCTAGGGCATGTCACTCACACACTTCAGCTGTCCCTTACACCAGATGTCCTTTAAATCTAGCACACCATTCTACATGTATGTGTTCATTACTGCTGTCCCTTTTCCCTGTCGCTTTCCTCTCCTGTTTAGTAAATGTCATTCAATTGTTCACTCCATCTGTCTTCTTCACTACGTAATCCCTTTTCTGTCCATATACTATGTCACTTAAAACTCTGTTCTACTTGTATCTTATGGCTGCCTGTTGTACCTACCACATTATGGTAGGTGTTCAAGAGTAATTTAGATGCTTTAATAAGTCTCTGAGCATGCGGTTTAATACTTACCATTAGCACTCAAAATTCCTTCAATTTATCAAGTGTCTATGACAGGATGTTTTCTCCAGTGAAGTCTTTCATGTTATCTGAGTTTTGATAGGAGTATACGAGCAAAATCTCTCTTGCCTAGTCAGTGCTAAATTTCTTGAAGCACCAATTCATGCTTAGAGTCACAAAATATTCACAAATCAAGTGTTCCTCCACCTTTTTTTGCTTGACAGATCCATCACAATAATCATTTTCAGAGCATGCCTGTCCATCAAAAGGCAGAGAGGTTCTCCTTCCCCTTCAACGAGAGACTGAAAAGTATAGGTTCAAATCAGGAATACACTAAATTCTTCTTCCTCCTTTACCTTTTTCCAGCTGTGGTTTAAAGTGAGATCTTTTCTGCAGTGGGAGAGTACCCCAACCAAGGGATATTACTCACTTTTTAATTATTCTCTCTTATTTAATCCTTCACCTTGGTATTTTTAATATATCAGCAACTCCCCATGATAGGGTGAGATGTAAACTTCTGACTTGCAGATTGACTCATGGTTATATGTCAGTCTATGGTTATATTTTATGAAGAATGTAAACACAGATTAAAGAAGGTTTTGAGAAGAGGTCTCTTGGCCAGATGCCCTCACCAACAAGAGATACATGCATTTTGTCGGTGTTCTTTCAACTCTTCCTGAAAAAGAAATTACACCACAAACACCTTATTATATAAAGGGAAAGTTCCTACAGCTCTACTATTCTTCTCACTGATTTCTATCATCTATCTTCTGGTTCAGTTTCCTTCCTTGAGATACAGTGTACTGTGGGTTGGTGAATGAGAAGAGGCAACTGGCTGTAAGTTTGCCTTAAAATCAGAAGTCATAGTGTTAAGCCCTTTTCAACAATTTAACCCTTTACTTGTGGTGTGAAGTGCATAACAAGAAGAAGGCAGGAGATAAACAATAGTTTGGTGCATCGTAATTTCACATAACTTCATCTTCCTTGCTAATGAGCAATTGAATCTTTAACTTTATGTTTTTCTGTCCACAACTCACCTTTTGAGCCATAACTGTGGTTTAAATCTTCTGTATACCAAACTGGAACTTTTAGGTACTTACACAATATCCTCATCTTTAACACCCTTGTTCAAGCCCTCGTTCCTGAAGACTTGATTTCTCTAATTTTTCTGAATGTCTTCTATCACCCCTTTTCTTCAAGTTTTCCTAACTTCTTTGGATTCTCTTAAAAAAAAAAAACAACAACAACAAAAAAACCCAAACCAAACCAAACCAAAACAAAAAAACAAACCCAAAACCAAGACTTTTTCATTGAAATGCTAGGCAGAAATTGCATGGGTTTGACAAGATGCTGCAGAGTGACCTCTGAGGGAATATGCCACAAACACTTTTATGCTGTTCACAGCTAGGCTCAGCTGCCCTGAAACAAGTGTTAGCACTCCATCATGTGGTAAAAATTTAGCAAGTCACAGAAGCACATGGCTCCTTTGCTAAAACAGGTTCCAAAAATACCATATGCTTCTGTGGGAAAGAAGAAATGGAGAAGATACATTGAAGGAGACATTACTGGAGGCATAGCTCAAGATGCAGTCTTCGAAGGAGGAGCTCTGTGTCAGAGGAGGCCACCTCTGAGGGACAAAGGCTCACAGGAAACTCTTGGCAGGGAAACCCCTGAAAACCCCTGAGAGGTTGTAAATTGTTCTAGAGCAGAGCAACACCAGGAAGAACCAAGGATCTGAAATTAGCCATCACACAGTGTCTGCAAGCACTTCTGCCCCTCAGCACCTCACCAAAGGAACTGGGATAGATTAAATGGACCATACAAAGAAAAAGGAGGCTCTGAGGCTGGTAAGGGAGGAAAAGGTCTGTTTGACTGAAAGTGAACTTGTTGAAAGGAAAGAGGAGATGTCTACCTAATACACAATTAGAGTGATGTTTACTCAATTCAGTAACACAACGTTTGTACTTCTGGTCAATAGTTTCATTAATTAATTAAAATGCCAGGAGTCAGACTATTTTGCCTGTGACAAAGAGTAAGGACATATTTATGTGGTAAAGACAAGCCCACAGTAAGGGGACAAAAGAGGTCAATCTTTCCCCTTTTTTAAGAGGGAGTATTCTTCTACATTAAATATGTGATCAGTTTGTAAGAAGTTGTCAAGACATTTAGCACAGAGGACTTGGGTTCCTCTAGGCTATTTGCAGTCACAGAATATTATGCACTTAAAAACAATTATTAAAAAACCCACATACCCTGTTAGACCATTACATATATCCTATATGTAGGATGGAATCTTATTATTTTGATAAATGTAGATGCTTAAGATCTTGGTCAAATTAAGCATTCCCTTGATCACTTCGTGAACCTAAAAACCAAAACCTTTCTCAGTGGGATTTATAGGAAGCCTATGGGCTTTCACATTGCTGAAACTACTTTTGAGGATTTGAATCTAGTTTACTAACTCATAGATCTGATTTTTCCAAGATCAAGTGTCCTGCCATCCAGAAGCCAGAGCCTGTCCTAATAAGGCTTTAGTTTGACATCTGAAGCAGGGAAAAATCTTTACACTTGCTTACTGCTTGTAGCTGAGTGTGTCTCTTCATGAATGAATCTTCATGTATAACAGCACAAAAAGTTATCCTAAAAATATTGCTTCAAGATTTTCCAGTGAAAGCCCTTTCTATGTAATCAGGTTCAAAAAATTCCTCAGTGAAACACCTAAGAACTGGGTGGTGTCATGACTCTTAATATCCTCATAAATGGATAACACCAGAATTATTTCACTGAATGTGTTTATAGTGAATAAGGTCGTCTACACCTGGGGCGGGCTCTCAGAGGTGCTGACAACACTACTGAAGCTGATTGCCTCAAAAGAAAATACACATGGTTTTAGTTTATGTCTGCCTGTAACTTACTAAATGTATTTACAGGCTTGGACTTGCAACCTGCTGTGTGGATACAATTGCATCCATGTGTGGACCATGGCAAAGAAGAGAAGACAGATGATCTTCCTTACATGGACCTTTCCCATATATGCACAAAGCAATTAAAAATGAAAAGCCATTGCCCCTATATTTGTCTTCTCCTCACACTGAACATCATTGCACTGTCTGCTGTTGATTTGCAGAGGTCATGATCTTTCTCTGGCCATACTTTGCAGGGAGGGACATACGTCTCACAGTGGTTTCTGCGGTATTTCTCCATGGATTCCTTTTGTCACCAGCAGAGATGACTACCTTTGAAGCAGACTAAAACCAGCAGTGAGCTCCACTTTTGTCAGGAGTGGCTAAGATAGTCCTTGCCAACAAATGAAAAGGTTTGGTCTTTGTCCTAAAGTTTCTACCTTGGTTCAGTCAGAGATTTTTTCCTAAGAAGAAAGTATTTTTCTTGACTATAATCCTCTATCTGGAATGTCTACCAAATGAATGATTTGGCCACATAGAACATTCATGATGAGCTCGAGCCTGTTGAGAGGGGTTGCTTCCTCATCTGTATTTTACCAAGAAACAGGCCTTTGTCCTGACTAAATAGTTCATAGCTAAATAGTTTAAATTATAAAAGCAGTCATGAGCTTTGTTAATACTAATAAAAATATGTGGGTTCTAATTTTAGGGCCAGTACTTGACCTGACAAGTTGCAGTTCACTGACTTGAACATCTTTGATGATTATCTCTCTTAATGTACCCTGTAATAATGTCTCTGCTTACTAACTACAATTGCACAAAATTAAGATGCATCTGAACATTTAAAAATGGTGTACCTGGATATTTTAAGGAACTATCCAAAGGACTTTTTGAACTTTTGCAGATAATGTTAATCAAGCTAGGGATTCAGAGACTAAAAATAACCCTATATGGCAGGAAGAAAGAACTGGGAAAAATCTGGCCAATTAATTTTTCATAGATTCTAGGCATAATATTCTGGCATACAAGGGAATCAATATGCGAATATTTAGGGAGATTCCAATTAATAATTAAAAGTAAGCTTATTAAAAATAGTCAATGCTTTAAAAAATCTAATCACTTTCTATGTTGTAATTACTGACCCAGATCTCACCAGTTATCCATGCAGATGGAGTCTTAGGTCCATGTGGAATGGTGGTGGAGTCCAAGGGGCTCTGCATGAACAAAGGGTTTGGTCAACGTGGAGCAAATTGTAGGAATGAAGCCTGTGTAGATAGGATAGAATAACATGGATAATGGACTAAAATAAGACATTATACAAAGTGCTACCTAATACAGATTTGATGACTTGTAGATAAATACTCATTAAAAGTGATAGATTTCAAATGGGTTGACAAAGGGGAGAAGAAAGTAATTACTAGGGTAAGGCTTCTCAGGGGAGAGCATTATCTAGGAGTGCCAGGCAGCATCACTGTGGTCACTACTGGAATCCATCTTATTTCTAATGACAACTTTGTTATCTCAGCCATGGAAAGTACAGAAGATTCACTAATTGTGCTTGGGCACCAAAGGCAAAATTTTAGAGATTAAAGAGAGTAGTCATGTCCATTATGCAGATAGAAGAGATATTTCCAAAGCAACAGGTGACAGACCAACAAATGCTTCTCCCTTGCAACCACTGTTGCAGTACCAAAGTACTTATAAATACTCTTCAGAAATAATAATACAGCCACAACTGACTTTAATAGTTCTCACTCAAGTTTAAAACTCTTCAATTTCTTTATGAATTGAGCAGTTAAACTCATAGGCAAATAGTAACTATGGCATACTCAAGTAATGATAACTTATTTTTAAGACTGGATTTGTGTTTGATTTTTTTTTTGCTCATTTTTCTATCTCTTTTGTGCACCTGGGGTAAGTATTGCTTCAAAGTGCCAGCTATGAGGATCCAGAGTGAAGTCATGTACAGGGTATGGGCCACAGGGGGCTTGAGTTTATAAGGCTCTATAAGTTCATGCCCGAGTGCCATCCAGCTGTATGAAGAACTAGATCAACAAAGCTTCACTTATGCTATTGCTGTGTGTGAAGGAAGGTACTTCTAAATGTAGACAAATTTGTAGGGTCCTGAAACAACAGATAGAGGGACTTCACTGGGTTTGTTCAGCAAAGTTTCTTAGTCTTTTAAGTATTCTGTTACATATACTGAAATACTGGACCCCAAGTTTAAGATCAATGACTTTTATGGAAACTTGTGCTGAAAACACTGTAGCCAGCATGCTGGGCAGGCAGACCTATGTAAAATTAAATGGAAAATTCACTTCCAGAATGTAAATGCTTCTGAGCATATCCAGAATCCAGTCCTTGAATCCAGGAAGAAATGTACAGATGATAACCTCAGCAGGTTGAGCCTGAAGTGCTAAACCTCAGCAAGCAACCTGAGGATTCAACTTGGAGTTAGGTACCTGCAGTGGCAGTTTGTGCCAGTGTCCTTTTGAGTGTGTCTAGTTATGAGCCCCTGAGAGTGTTGGCTTAAGTCCAAACTCACCTCTTGAGTTACTTTCATTAGCCAGTCTAGGTCTAAACATGCAAATTTTCACTAATCCTCTTTGCCATGCAATCCAGATATTTTGGCTGTTTAGCTCTTTTACAGTTTCCACCATGCAAAAAGTTATTTCCACACAAAACAGTGTGACTGTATATCCTTGAAATCAGGGTTTACATTATATATAACACACCCTAATCTGGAAATTAAGGGCAGATATTAAGCAAGAATTAAGTTCAAAGTAGGATTTTTCAACTTCTTTACAGAGCAAACACCTCTTCCATTTCTTATGTTAGTGTGGAGCGAGTGGGCATGAACTGGGGAGCTGGAACAGACATGATACCAAACAGGAGCAAATGGTTGACATCTGTTCCAAATATCAGCACAAGAGCGAAAATGTGGGGGCAATGTGTCTGAAATAAAGTTTCATTTGAGGGGAGAGTCAACATAATTATCAAACAAAGGAGAAAAAAAAAAAAAAAAAAAAAAAAAAGAAAAAAAAAAAAAAAAAAAAAAAAAAAAAAAAAAAAAAAAAAAAAAAAAGAAAGGGTAGATGAGAACTATCTGAAAAATAGCAAATAAAAAAAAGAATAAGGGTGACAAATACACACAACAAGTATCACAAGAAATAATAAATAGCTTGATTGCAAATAAATTTGTGTCTTGTGGTTGACAGAAAATTCTTAACTGAACTATACTAGATTGCAGAATAAACTCATGCCCTTTTACATTTTTACAGCATAGAAAATCCACAGGGAACAGCTGCAGTTAAAAAAATTAGGCATAGGTAAAACTTTGTTTAGGGGTTTTGCATTACCAAATATGAGGGAAACTGTGTGAGACAGAAACCACCAGTGCAAACAAGACTCTCTGGTGTATAATAAAACTGCATTATCTTTCTGTAAAGCTATCTTCTTTGTAAAGATAAAGTTAGTAAATTCTCCATATTTTCTACCCAATCACTTGTTTTCTTAAAGTGATTTTTTTTTTTATTTCTTAAAGAAATAACATACTTATGATTCCATTCCTCACTCAAATGTGTCTGAAACTAAAATTGCAGATTAGAGAATTACTGGAGAGGAACAGACAGACAAAGAAGTGCAGACATGTGGAACCTGAGTGAATAATATCCATTCCTCAGAAATACAGGTAAAAAAATACTATAGTCATATTACCATAATCTATGGACAGATTCACCTGTTTATAACTCTCTAGAAATCACTTAAGGATTGAAAGGAGTATTATATAAATACTATCTAGGTATTTCCTCTGTCTGTGGTCTTTTAGATAAGGATTAGCCTGAGAGATGGAATGTTAGCTGTACTGAGATTAAAAATTATTTAATCTTGTTTTCAAAGGTTGAAAGGTGTATTGGGTTTTCATGGCAAGGTTTTGGTAGTAAGGTGGCTATAAGAATAGGTCTGTGAGAAACTGTCAGAAACTTTCCCCAAGTCTGGTGAAGTCAATGCCAGCCATCTCCAAGACAAACCTACCACCTGCCAAACCTATCCCAGTTACAGTGCAGTTAAGAAAGATGATGGGGGAAAACTGCACAGCAACAGCAGGGAAGAGAGGAGTGAGTGAGACTATGTGAGAGAAACAATTTTTCAGACCAATGAAAAAGGAGGGAGAGGAGGTTTACCCAGCAAGACCAATGGAGATCTTCATGAAGCAGGTTCTCCCCTTGCAGTCCATGAAGATCCATGGTGGAGCAGAGATCCACCTCCAGCCTGATGGAGACCCCATGCTGGAGCAGGTGGATACCTGAAGAAGGCTGTGACCCTATGAGAAGCCCATGCTGGAGCAGGTTCCTGTCAGGATCTGTGGTCCCATGGAGGAACCCCCACAGGAGTAGATGGTTACTGAAGGACTACAGCCTGTGGAAGGGACCCATACTGGAGCAGCTCAAGTAAAACTACAAATTCATGAAGGACTGTCTCTTGTGGGAGAAACAGCAGGAGAAGAGTGTGAAGAGTCCTTCCCCTGAAGAGGAAGCAATGGGAAATACAGTGTGTGATAAATAGGCTGCTATAAATAGGATCCCATTCCTGGTCCTCCTGCGCTGCTGGGGGGTGAGGAGGTAAAAAACATTGGAAGTGAAGTTGAGCCTGAGAAGGAGGGATGGGTGGGGAGGAAGTGCTTCATTATTTGGTTTTATTTCTTATTATCCTGCTTGGATTTGATTGGTAAAAACATAAATTCATTTCCCTAATCAAATCTATTTTGCCTCTTTTTACCAGAGTGGTAATCAATGAGTGATGTCTCCCTGTCCTTATTCTGACACATGAGCCTTTCACTGTAATTTCTCTCCCCTGTTCAGTTGAGGAGGGGAGTAAAAGAGGGGCTTTGGTGGATGCTTGGCATCTGGCCAGGGTCAGCTCAACACAAGAGCAAATTTCACAGAAATCTTTCTATAAAAGCAACTAATTTTACATGTGAGATGCAAACAAATGACAGTGAAAAAAAGAGCTCCACACTGGACAAAAAGATGTAAATGAAGAGATGAGGCATCCAATTTTATATACTTGAGAATAGGAAATATTAATGCAGGACATGATACGAGTCTATAAATACCTTCAAAGAAAGATTATAAAGAAGGGATGTAAGTAGCCACAACCTAGAGAAATAATCAGGATAAAGAAAATGACCCAAAAATAAGACTAAATATGTTTAGCAGAATATTAGTAGAAGGCTGTGATCTGTGAAAAAAAAAAAATTGTTATGTGTTTGTGATTCAGCAAGTAGAGATTATCTAAGGGGCTAGAAAAGCAAAATATATTCATATATGAAATGGCCTTGTGATACAGGAGCAAGGAGAGAGACAATACTGAGAGGGCAATGAGATTTGGTGGATCTAGCACTGAAGCTGTGGAGTCTGTTCAATAGGGCTGACAGACATGATTATTTTCACCAGAAATTCATTGTTTGGAACTAGAAATAGAAACTGGCTGTTCATTGTCATGATGTAGCCAGGGTAAATGCCTTCCGGTTTCAGGAAGAGAATCTGCCTAGAAGAATATTATTCATGTAATTAATTAGCTAAAACACAGAAGTAGATACTCTAGTTTCTGAAATAAGTTCCCTCAGTTATCATAGGAAGAACAAAAAACCAACAAACCTCAAACAGAAAGCCAAAGCAGGTGTTAATATATAGGATACAGTCAGTAGCACTTTTGTTTGGAAAAGTAGAGATTTTTTTAGCAGCCTGGCCATGTCAGAGCATACCAGGAAAGTCAGATTAGGATCGATAAGGCATGCTAGACAGATCTCAGCATTCAAGTTGGAAGACTTAAATGTGCCTACTCCAAGCTAATGAGGTAAGAGTAAACTGTAGCTTACAAACCATTGGTTTCCTCTAATGTCAGATGCATAAATCTTGGTACATTCCTAGATCATATATGCCTATTTATTTTCATTTGAATGGAATAAAATTCATATGTTTCAAAGCCAACCCATGATGCCAAACAAAGTGTGCTATGTTAGGATAACTGTCAGATTATACTCAAAAAAGAACTCTCATTTGGGACTAAAAGACTTGAGTTGCCACAGCCTTAGATCTATCTCTCTTGCATATTGAATTTTCAGGTAAGTTAGCACTGGGATATGTCATGCTGAATAAGGTAGACCAACACTTAAAGGAGAGGCAGGAACTTCCCAGTTACAGGGCAGAGTGCCCTGGGCATGCCCACTGGAGAAACACTGGAATCTAGGAAGTTTTGAAACACTGAAGGAAACACCTGGTGAATTTAGATATCTGCAAATTTCTAAGGGTTATTTTGGGTTTTTTGTTTTGTTTTTTCAGATGCACATTTGAATGTGCATATTATTGCCACTGTAGATATTAGATTTAATCTCTGGATCTGAAGTTTAGCTTCACAATTGATTTTATTAACATATTTCAGGATGGTTTATACAGTTTCTTTATTGTTTTATAATCTAAGATCCACAGATTCTTAAAAATTCTTTTAAAATCTTTATGGTTTTCCTAAAACTGATTTGAAAGCTTTGTTTTAAATAGTGTTTCTTTTCCAGAACTGGTTTTATCAAAGAATATTTCTGCATCATCCCTGAAAAAGCACACTACATATAATCACTCATGCAGATGCACATAAACACAGTAATTTTCATGTATATTCTTATTTGTTGTTAACCTTTGACAAGTCTGTCTCCTTCTAACTAATTAGTAAGAACACTGCAGCCATGTCACTCTCTCAAACTTGTTGATAGTAGAAACAACAGAAAAGATCTGATTATGGCAGTCTGCAGCTCATGATTTAGAAAGGCTATAGCTGAATTGATTCAACTACATAACTCAGTGAATTCAAAGCTAAAGTATGAAGGATTCCTATCCTTGGCCAAATACTTATCATCTTATATGGCTTTAAGTTCTTGAAGGTGTAGAACTAAACTACTAACAGATAAGAATAAATTCCTGAATTAGGAATGCCCTGTATGAGTGTTTATAATATTAAGTATTGCAAAGATATATCTAGGAGCAGAACTCCTACCTGTGGTACCCCCACAGTATAACATCTCTACTCCAGCAACTACCAGTCCCCCTTTCAGGGCTAAATTGTTATGTCACATTATCTCAGTTGTCTAAATCTTTTATATCTCCACACCATACTGAATTTTTTTTTAATAGAATAAAAGGGATTTTATTGAGAATAGGCAAGAAATTATTTTATGGCAACAAGAGGTTTTTGTTATTATAGACCAAAAAAATTGTATTTTAACATGAGAGGTATCTGAAGTCTTTTTCTCTGAGAAGTCTGTGGAAATAAAAAACCACCATCCTGATTATTGGTAATATTTTGTAATATTTTGTAATATTTTAGAACATTTATTTCAGTGCAGAAGATCCTTAGAAGCAAGCAGTAGTCTTGCAGTTGGAGTAAAGAAAGATGCCATCTGGGTTTCATTTGCAGCTGTGCTGCTGACTTGCTTTGACACCCTGAACAAGGCATTTAACATTCCTATGTCTCAGCTGTAAATGATAATTAATTACAGTTGTATCCAAAAGCTCCAGTCAAGATAAGGCCTAAACACACTGGCTACTGTACAAACAAGGCCTGACATTGTCCCTGCCCTGAAGAATCTAATTTGAGACTAGATGCAGCAAGCAGATCTGACAAAAAAAAAAAAAAAAAAAAAAAAAAAAAAAAAAAAAAAAAAAAAAAAAAAAAAAAAAAAAAAAGGGAATAGACAAGAGGAAGGTAATGAAAATGAGATAATGAGGTTACTTAGGGAGCCATCATAGAACTTGAATGTTCCAAAGCATTAATAAATTGATTAATTAATTATAATTAGCTCTCCCAAACTGCACCACAACCTCTTCACCACAGGTTTTGTGTAGATGCCATTGCTGAGAAAAAGCCTGAAGTACCTAATGGAGAGTAGAGGTCAAAGACTTGGGGTTAAGCCTGACAGGTTAAACTATACATCAGAGTAATACAAAAAGAAATGCAGAGTTGATAAATTGAAATTCAACTGACATTCCTATGGAGACAAAGGAATATACAGGTAGCCATGTAGAAAGGGATAACACTTTTCAATAATTTTTTTAATTAAAAAAAATACCTAAGTGCATTTGCTATTTTATGTTGTTGCAAAAATCATAATTGAATGGATGTCACGTTGAACTTTTATATTTCACTTGTTGAATTATGTGATTTTTGCCTTCCTCAATTAGCTGGTAGCAAGAGAATAGGTTGAAATAATAAGCAGCAGGTCATCAACAACTTGTGGTTTTGGCTTTTTTTCCCATATATCACTGCTATCTTTTTTCCTTGCTAGTGAAATGAAAAGAAAGGACTTTGACATCAGCAAGAATTTGTCTTTCTCTCCCCTATGTCTGTGTTCCACCTTCTGTCTGAACAACATCTGCTATGGGTCAGCTTATACCCTACATAAGTAATAAGAAATAAGAAATACAGAAATAAGTATGTTTTCATTTTGTTCCAGTTGCCTATTTCAACTGTGATGTTTTTTCTTTCTGAATTACTCTGACTTGGCTGATTGACTTCCACATTTTTTAAGCTCTTTTCTTCCCTTAAACTTCTTCTACCTCTGTTTTAGTTGGTTTTGAGATGAGAAGATTATTTACTTTGCCAGGTATATGAAACTGGCTATATAACTCAATTATAATT